GTCGGCTTCTTTGTCATCTGATTTCTCTTCTCTTCGTTTCTTTATATACTCGAATAGTTCCTCAATCTCTCATCATCTCTCTCGCCTGCTCTCTCCTCCTCTCTCTCGGTTCTTGGCTAAAATCCTAGAAATTAATTTGAGGTTTTAATCTGGAAATCCCCAATTCAAATTATTGGCAGAATTAGGGCTGCATGAAGAAGGCTTTAGAAAGGGGATACAACGATCAGGTGACCTCCGATGATGGTCGCATAAGATGGTCGCCGGAATCGGACGAAGAAGACGAGCTGTCAAGAAATTGAATTTCAGCCTTTGTCTCTTCAAAGGATTAGATGAACGGAAGTCTTAACGGTGGAGTTTCGATGATCCGAAGCTACTGTTAGAATCTTAAGAACATAGCTTTCTATTGGTGGGGGGACACTCGACGGTGTTCAAGGCGTTGGTTGCCGTAATCGGACAAGAAGTTCAGCGTGCTCGCTGGAACCTTGAAGGAAATAGTATTTGCTGATGCACCCGTTTTCGAAGCCGAAATCGAAGGGTTTGGAGTGAGAATTTGGAATCAGTCTCTTCACAAAACTCGTCGATGACCGTGAGAGTTATAAGTAAGTGTTAAATTGCTTCTAATTCGAGAAAATTTTATAGACTGTTAGAGATGAGAATTAGACGGAAGTGAGTCTATCAAAATCATGGCAGTTACACGTAATCCTCTTACGGGGCTGTTCTTGCTATGTTGGGATAATAATTGAGACTATGTGTCTTCTGAGAATTCGTAGATTAAATTGTCAGATTTAATTGAGATCTATTTTCATCAATTGTTATACGATCTTGAATTGTGGTCACTCTCTTATTGAAACCATTGATCTTACCTTTCATGACTTGTGATTTCATGACCAGAAATTATTGTCAATTGTTATTGGAATCCCATTGGGATTATCCTGATCAGTCACTTATTGAAATCCCAACACTATTGAATTATGATACTGATTCTTTCCAAAGTGGAATTCATTATTGGGATTCAAACTGTAAATTGAGATAGTCGGAAGCGTATCCGATATCTATATATGATTGATTCCTTTGGGGACGCCCTAAGGATAATTGATCAGTTGGGCCCTTGGCTGTTCGAAAAAGACTACTGGGCTATATTGGGCCGACGATGGATGGTCTCTTCGATAGTACCCGTATTGGATCTACACCATTGGCATAGTTGGAGGTTAACTGTGCTGATGGATGGATCGGCATGCGCCCGGGCATGCCTATTGATCAATTAGCATGGTAGCTTCCTGATCGGTGTTATAAGGTAGTTACGGCCAAGGGAGTCACAAGGCAGGTACCGGTACATGAACAAATTGTTACCATGGGAATTTCCATGGTCTCATATTTGATATCCAATTTGTTATCATGAGAATCTCCGCGAAATTCATAATTGATCAGGGAATTACCTGTTGAATATTGTTCTTTACCTGTACATATTGATTTTATTGTTTATCTTGATCATACTGATGTGCCTTATACTTTGGCCTCTTATTCCTTATCGAAACGATCATTCTCTAGATGGTCCAATTCCAACTCCAATTCCAAGTCTAACACTTTTATTGTTTTCTTGCTGTGATTATTATTCGATTCCACTGTTTTTCCCTTGTACTCCTCACTAAGTCCATTTGGACTTACTCCTCCTTTATATTCCATCTTATTCTTAGTATCAGGTGCATTAGTCGAAGATTATGTTGAAGACTCTTAGGAGTAAAGTTACTTAGAAGTTTTATAGAGTTTAATTTATTTGGATTCTAGCTCTATTTCAAAGGTGATTGTTGTTCAAGAGATATGGATACGATATTGTATTGTGGACTTTGATTGCCCATTTTTATTTGATTTTAGTAATGTTAAATTAAGTTCAAGTCATTGTATTCATTTATTAAAAAAAAAGTACAGTGTATTTCGATAGTGGGCGTCAAATTACCTGACCAACCGACTATTTTAATACTAAAAAAAATATGATAAATATTTAATGTTAATGAATCTAATAAAATTATGATAATTATTAATGAAAATAAGTAAATAAATAAATTTTATAATTATATATCAAATAATTCAACATACAAAGTTGTAAACCTTTGAGTACTATTTTATTTTATAATTCGTATTTCTAATTCTTCTTTATTTATTTAATTGTTGTAAAATTTAGTAAAAAATACTCTTAAAGTTAAGGTTTGGTTTTTTGTAACAAGTTTTTCCAAAATATCTTTTGAACAAAACTTACAAAAAAGTTGATAGAATAACATTATTATTGTAATAAGGGAAAAATTAAATGGCCGATGATACAAACAAACCGACCCAATTTTTTTATTTTGGCAAAGACGGTTGTCAACTATTATCTGACCCACAACGGCCGGGCTGTTAACGTATTCAGTACACAAAAAAATCTGTTGATCCGGTCCGGTAGGTAATTGACCGATAATTACTCGACCCAACCCGACCCATGTCTAACCCTAGTGTGTTGTATTAAAAAGAAAATGATATTCTTTTATATTTGTGTGGTACTGATTTCATTCAGAATATTAATGTAATTACCTATTTATTTATGTATTGTTTATTTTTCATTTTGTTAGAATTGAAGTGAGAAAAAAAACGATATTTGTTTTAGTCATCCCCGAAGTAAATTGTATTTTAGATTTTTACATAACCTAGGGAATGCAGTGCATGTAAATATTGTGAATTATGACTGATAGACCTACTAAACATTTGTAGGGACTGGCCCACGCTTTTAGCTTATAAAAAGGGGGCAATTTGCTATAGGTCGCTCTATATTATAATTTATGTCTATAAATTCAAGTCAAAATCTGCAGATTTTAATAAATTAATTATTTTCATTGTGGTAAAAATACCCTTAATCAAATCAAAATTAAATCTCCCAAAAACCTCTCGATCAAAACAAATTCTCCTAAATATCTCTCTTCCGAATTTAACTAAAAAACAAAATTAATTCGTAAAAAAAATATACTTTATTGAACAAACTCATACTCTAAAAAAACTAGCACCGCCGCGTCACCGCTGCTGACTCCATGAAATGCAAATAGCAAACTGAAAATTAATATTTGTATCATTGAATTGCAAACAACAAACTACATATGATTTCGACAAATGCAAACAGTAAACTGAATAACAAAAATTCAAAATTTGCATTATGGAATTGCAAAAACAAACTACCTAGATTTCTCAAAAATGCAAACAAAAAATTAAAGACAAAAAATCAACGGAATTTGCATTATTGAATTGCAAACAACAAACTAGCAAAACAACAAATTGAAGAAAAAAAATCAGCATCATTGAAAACATCAACAAAAAATTATTTATGGAACACTTTGAAAAAAAAAACATGAAAAAACTATTTGCAAAATGTATCTTAAAACATACATTGCAAATTGTAAACCGGAGGATCAAATCTCAACACCAAACACAATTCTTCAAACAACAAACAAAGGTAGCCCAACCTGCAAAGGAAAATTGTTAACAACAAACGATGGGAAGGTTCTACATACGAAACACGCAATGCAAATTTTGGCTTGGATTTTTGATTTCTAAAATTCACTTTTTTTTTTCTTTGGGAGGGGCTGGGCGGGGAGGGTGATGTTTGTTCTCCGCTCTTAACTCTTTCATCAAGAAATCATTTCATAAAATAAAAAGCTACCATAGTTTTTCATCTCTATAACATTTCTTCAACAAAAAAAATACTGAATTCAAAAGTAAAGAAAAAAAATTGAAAAAAAGACATGGGGGAGTGAGTGACGAGATGCATAGGGGGGAGAGAGATGAGAGATTAAATATATCAAAAAAAAAGATACGTAAGATTGGAGAGAAATGAAGATTCATGTATGAGATTTATTTTTTTGAAATGTTAAATGTGGTTTCAATTTTACTAATATCATTTTGACTTCGAACCTGATTTTGACATATTTCTATTTTAATTATACCCCGCTTGTACTCGGGGGTGGGAGCACTTTATCATGTTCTACTCGATTATATCGCTTGGGTTTCGGAAATTGTTCAGATGAATGATGATGTTAGGAGTTTATATATTGGGACGCGTTTGTTTATTTCTAATTTTGTTATATGCTGATGTGTGTCGATTGTTCCATGTAGGTAGATTTGGTCACACATACTGACAATAAATGCGAATAACTCATTTTTGATTTTCGTATGAGTGGCTCTTGTGCATTAAATCTATGTGGGATTGCATCTTGAAGGTTTGATTTATTCGACGAGCTCGATTTTGGTATGATTTTCTAAAACTATTCCAATTTCTAAAAATGTTCGATAAATTACTGAAGTTGGGTCCCGTTTATTCAGGGATGTAGCTGCTGGTTCCTCCATGGACTCGTATTCCTATGCCTCTAGTTACTTCTGGCGTTGAGAAAGGGAATATAATCTACGGGAGCTAGCTTTAGCTAGGATGGATAACTTGGGCTTGAAATGTAGGGATGTTCGGACACAATGTAGGGATGTTCGGACACGAGAAGCTGGTATTCAGGCAAGTGAAACACGATTTCTTTCCATTTAGTGATGCAACAAATTCATATTCTACTGAACAAAATCAGGACATATATCCACCACAAATATAAAACCAGAACAAGTTCAGCTTGTTCGCCGCGATTACACTGCAAATGAGGGCTGAGAAACGTTTCTTTCGTATGAAGACACACACCAGGTGTGTTTTTTTCCTGTCGATTTTGTCATGCCATTTACTTTTTTAATTAACTTGGATGGAAACACACACACACACACACACACACACACACACACACACACACGTGCATGGCACATGATAGTAATTTCACCCCTTCTGAGTTAAAATAATATGTTTGCCCTAATTACACATTCATTCATTCCCTCATTTTTCAGAAATTATTGGTAGTTTCAAGATATCTTATATATATCAACTAGAAATTAAAAAATAAAACAGATGCGATCAAGAAAGAAATAAATTCTTGATTAATTTCAAACATAATTCCTTACAGTAGAGACCGGATAATAATGGCCGAGAAAAAATATCAAGCTGCATTGAATAATTTCTCCTAACTCCATCCTAAATCTTTCAACATAATGTCATCGATATCGATATCGAACTCTATATTATCCAAATCAATCTTCTGCATCTTGGAAAACGCATCACGATCTTCTTCAATTCCTTCGTCTTCTGCTAATCTTTTCTTGCCAATGTTCGGCATTCCTAATAATCGTTCTTCGTCTGAATACACAGCTCGTTCGATTTCATCCTCAAGTAATTGGTTGTCTTCGTCTGTAATAGGGTTTTGTTCTTGTGGAACTATAATTTGTTCGTCTGAATACATAGCTTGTTGGAGTTCATCGGCGAGTAATTGGTCTTCTTCGTCTAAAACAGGGTTTAGTTCTTGTGGAACAATAATTTTTGGCTGCTTCTTCGTCTTTTCCTTTTCGTTTTCCTTTGGAAAGATCCGAGTGATTCTACAAATGGCATAATCTTTAATCTTCAACTCAAAATTCAAACAAACCCCGGCCAATGAAAACTCGTGCATAATCCAGTGACCGTGTTCTTCTTCTTCTTCGCCGCTACTGCCTTTAGGTTTATTCTCGTAAAAAGTGAACATCTTGGACAAGCCGATTAAATTTCCCGATGACTCATCGTAAATCTCTTTGCCACTCGTTTGTCCCTTCCAAGTACCCGATTTTGTTCTTCTAGCGATACGAGTCTTATCGTTAACTCGTGATAATTTGGTAAAAACGTACGTGACGTGCTTGAATTTCTTTTCGGAATGAAAATCTTCCCAATGAACGTCTTGAAGAACTTCCCATGGATCGCCGTAAATATCTTTTTCCGGCATCCGATTCCATGGCAGTAGAATCTCCATTGATGCTTTCAACAGGTAGCAATTAATCAGCTCTTCGTCCGACGGTACAAAGCGATACCCCGGAGCAATCCTCATTCTCTCTCTCTCTCTCGTTCTTTTCCCTCTCTTTTCTCTCTCTCGTTCTCTCTCTTTTGATCTTTCTGTCCGGTTTATTTGGTTTATCTATACAGGATTACGGAATATATATATATATATATATATATATATATATATATATATATATATATATATATATATATATATATATATATTGTTTTATCTTCATAACATCTCCTTCAACACGGTACTGCAGCAACCATAGGACTCTCCCTCTTAATATTTTTTTTTGTAATACATATATATATATATATATATATATATATATATATATATATATATATATATATATATATATATACATATATATATATATATATATACATATATATATTTATATACTTATATTTTAAATTATTGTTTTTACACTTTTTACAATATTTGTTTGACAGAGTTGCATGGCAGATTGCTCCGACATCTATTGCAAGATTTGATGGCCTCCTGCTGACTAATAGTCGAAAATAATGGTAAATAGGTCCATCACAAGGGACTTAAATACACATTGGCCCACAAAAAAAAACAATCTTTAAAATAAACCTATCCCATGTCTTTGGTCTAAAATACCCTCCATAATATAATTATTATCAATTTCATCCATTATGCTATAACTTCCTTAATATTACACATTGACCCCGGATTTAAACAAATATATCACATTAACCCCCATTTTAATAATTTTTTAAAATTTTTTTTCTGAATTTTTCTTCCGGTTATATTTCGGCGTTGAATTTTTTTCTTTTTTTAAACTTTTGTTTTTCTGAATATTTTTCCCGGCCAGTCAACCGTGGTTGACCGCCGGTCTCCGGCGTTGATTTTTTTTTCTTAGAAAAAATAGTTTCATTAATCTTACTGTCTTTACTGCTAAATTAGTGTCCCAGACAGTAATATTACTGTTTGGGACAATAATATTATGAATATTAGTTTCCCGAAATATTATTGTCCCAAACAATAATATTATTGCATGAGACAGTAATAATACGGTCGGAGACAGTAATATTACAGTCGAAGACAACAAAAATGCAGGCCAAGACGATAAAATTTCTTAATATAGTAATGTTACTGTCTCAGACAGTAAAATTACTGTTGGAGACAGTAATTTAACAGCCAAGACAGTAATATTAATTAAAATAATTTTTTTTAAGAAAAAACAAATTTTAAAAAACAAAAACAATAAAACCAGTCAATTAACAGTTAAGTTACTATTTCTGACAGTCAAATAACTGTTGGAAACAGTAATTTAGCAGCCAATATAGTAATATTAATTAAAATATTTTTTTTAAGAAAAAAAGAAGAAGAATTCAATTAAAAGTTAAATAACTGCTGGAGACAGTAACTTACCAGCCAAGACAGTAATATTAAGTAAAATATTTTTTTTAGGAAAAAAAAAAACCAACGGCAGAGACCCAGCGGTCAATAGCGGTAGACCTACCGGAAAAGAATTTCAGGAAAAAAAAAATTCAAAGAAAAAAGAAAAAAAAATAAGTCAACGCCGGAGACCCGCAGTCTCCGGTGGTGGCGCGTCAAAATTGAAATTAGGGTCAAAATTGGTTAATTGGTGACATTTGGCTAAATTGCAGTGTAAATCATGAAATTGGAGTTGAATTAGGTTTCAATGAATTGGGGGTAATTTTGGTATATATAAAAGGGTTTCCTTATTTGCAAATAAGTTTGATTGAACTGGAAATATTTAAAAGACAAAAAAATTGAATGTCTCTTTTTAATTAAGTGCCCTTGTCATGGGCATTTTTTAAATTAACCCTTTTTTTTAAATTATTGTTTTACACTTTTTACTAGTATGAAGAAAAAAACACACAAAAAGAAATATTAATATATGTAAAGAAGTCTCTTAGTTTGGAGTCTTTTTCAATAGAGAAAATTTGACAAATGCTCCCTCATCACACAAGTGCAATTACAATCAACCCAATATTTTTTCGCATTTTTAAGATAAATTTAAAACTTCTTTTATTAATAAAATTAAATAAGTATCACAATTATATCCTTACCTTATTTTAACGTATCTTAGGGTTAAACATAAATTATACGTAATATTTGTTCCTTTAATATCACATTTTCAATCATATGTACAAATCTCGCTCCTTGATTTTGGAATACCGTTTCATTGCAGTGGGAATTATAATTCTCAAAACTCTTCTCAGTTTACCGAGCAGGAAAGAGGCTTTTCAATTACACATAGAGGTTTTCGATTCTAATACATGTATCAATTGTAAGTTGGTATAATTGTTCTCATTTTCCCTTTCTTTTAGTTGAGAATTAGGGTAAACCAGATTTGTTTACAGTGCGTTTTGCAATTGTGTGAACATGGTAGGAGATGATGTTTTGCAATTTAGTGGGTTTTGTATCTAAATTAGTAGTTTTAAGGGTGTGTGACTTTACTAATCCTAGTTTTCGTGTATGTGGATTTACTAATTAAACACACATTTTATTTGCAGTGTTGTTTTTGAATGTGTGGTCTGGACTGTGAGTGGTTTTTATAACTAAATATATTGTTTTAGTATTATTTAAATATAAAACATATGTATTCTATTATATAGTGGTATATTGGAGGATATTGCGGTGTAATGTTTTTGGACAAAAGTCCTACGGTGTCATGTAATTGATTTGATCTATAATTTAATTTATTTAAGTTTAAAATACTTACTTACTTTATAATCTATTACTATTGTTTAAAAAACTTGGCAAAAGTCCTACGGTGTTTGATACGTATAAGAAAACCTACATGGGTATTGATGTGTCGAGGGGAACCGAACCAACTATTAGAGAGGATGGAGATACAAAAGAATCATTTAATGGGACAACAACTCCCGAACAACTTCACATTTCGGTAAGTGTAATGCAATTGTATTCTTCAAAGTTCAAACGATAGTAAGCTAAATATTTATGTTCATTGTTGTGGCATGTTTAGTTGGGATCTATGGATATGTATACGTTTCTAATCTATGGATATGGATATGTTGTTGTAGTTTATTAATATGGATATTTTAGTTTATCATATACGATTTATCGTTTGATATATTAAACTAGTATGTAGTTGAGATGTGTGGATATGGATATTGTTATGAATATGTTAAGATGTTGTGTAAGGAAAATTACACTTTATGTCCATAAACTTTACCACTAAAATGATTTATGTCCTCAAATATTTCAATTCACGAAATATGACCTCAAACTTGCCACTTTTGATCAATTTATGTTCTGCCGTTAATGTTGCCAGCCAACTTCGACGGAAATAGCATATGTGGCTCTCGTGACATCTATCTGGCCGTTAAATATGACGTGGAATAGCTACCTACATCGATCTGGCGAAATAAAAAGACGTGGAGAGTGCCACGTAACTCTCTTCCTCTATTCTGAACAACACTCACATTTCATTACACCCAAATATATTGAACCAAAAAACATAAATCCTACCGCCAAATTACCTATAGGAAGCTTAAAATTGAGGTGAGATTCCGCAACAACAAGATTGCCCACCCCTAATTTCGCAGAGTTTCAAACATTTCTGGACCTAGGACATCATAATCAAGCAACAATTTCTAATTTTGAGTAAGTTTCTTCAATGTTGATATCTTTCCACTTCGATTTTGGAATTTTGGGAGGTGTGTGGTAGTTTTGATTTCACCCAAAGCTGCGGCGAATTGAAGTGAAAAACTCTTGCAATGTGAGAAAGTCTGAGGACATATTTCGTGGTTTGAAATATTTGAGGACCTAAATCGTTTTAGTAGTAAAGTTTAGGGACATAAAATGTAATTTTCCCATGTTTTGTACATACATGTCTTTTTTTTTTTTTATATATTCATTTTCAGGCTGATTTTGAGCGACTTTTTGATGAGACCATGCGTGATGGAAGTGGCGAAAGCACAACCAACTCAACTACGATTGGAAAAGTTCTCGGAAAGAGCAAAGGACTTCAAATTAAAAGTACAACCACAAGGACTGGAAAGTCGAGATTTTTTTCAACTCCACCGGAAGTGGAGATCCAAATGAAGTCAATGCAAGAGCAAGTCAGCGTAAAGATGAAAAATTGGATCGATTGGAATTGCAGTTGCATGAAACTCGAGAAATTATGAACACCTTGATTGAGCGTTTTAGACAACAAGGATTACAAGCCTCAACGTCGACTACTTCTAATAATGTTGAAGTATAAAAAACCTATGAAGTTTCCGCGCTTATAATACAGGTTAAATTTTGTCAATTGAAATAATAGAAGAAACCAAATTTAATATTAAAAAAAATAACTTTGCGACTAATACAAAAATCATCGCAAACATTTTCGATGCCCTGTGATGAATCATATATAAAATCATCGCAACTATGTCGTGTGGCTTGCGAAGAAAATTATTTTGAGTCGCCAAAAAATTCAAAATAATTGCGACGAAAATGTTCCAAAGGTCGCTACTTGGGGCGACGGAACCGGTTATCGTCGCGAATATTTTCGACTTATTATGTATTCGTCGCAAGAGATTTGCAACGAAAGGACGGAATCTGTCGTGAAAAATAAAAAAGAACATTTTTTCTTCGAAAATACAAAATTGGCGATGATTGTTGCGATTCGTCGCAAATTATTCTTCGATTCAGGCTTTGCGACGAGGCATTTGGCGACTATTCTTGCCGGACTTGGAGATGAATAGTTTTTCGTTGCATGACCTGAGAAATCATTGCAAAGGTGTTTTTCCGTCGCCAAATTTTGTCGCGTGTCTTGCATTGTAGCCTAATGACCTCCTATCACCACATTTTTTCAAACCTTTTCTTAGTTTGATACCTTAAAGTACAAAAATACTCTAGATTGAATTATACAACGTATAGAAAAAAGAAAAAAAAAATCAATCTCCTTATTTTCATTTGTTTTAGGGCTGGACATGGGTCGATTTTAACGGCCAACCAAC